CCTGAAAAGGGTAGCTGCCAAGATGTGTTGTGGTTGACAGCTAAGCAACTGCAACCCTGGACCCAGCACATTTAATTTTATTAAATCTAGATTACCCCTTCTTTGTGACAGACTTGATAAGAAACAGCGGGTAAACCCAATCTCTCCCCCCCCCCCCCACCTCTAAAATGGGGCAACATGAGGATTTGCTGCCACTGTTACACTGCACTTGAAAATTACAGTTTGTAATTATTAAAAAAAACAAATGGGCATGTGGTGTAAAATTTTCCTTAGTGAAAATCATCTTCTGCAATAACAGGACAGAAATATTAATCATACATGCTCATTATACAAAGCATATTGACAGATAAAATGAGTTCAGTTAAAAACTGATCACAGAACTGAGGACAATCCTACAAATGCTCTGCCCTCATCTTCAGCAGCCAACAAAGTTATAATACTATTACTGGCAGCAGTCTGTTATATGTTCCTCTTGCCTTTCCTCTGGTCATTTCCTGCTGCATCATTCCCTCCATACTGTAATGACATGTTTATACTTCCACGCTGTTCACTTGCTCCCACAAGAGGCCTTGACTACATCTAGCTTGTTATTCATCAGCTCATTGCCCAGCAGTGTAGTACTAGTCAATCTGTTCATTTCTTAAAATTTGTTCAAACAGGTCAAAGTCGTCCCCTTGTGGGATGCAATTTTTTGTTATTTAAAGCCCCACCCTGGCTTCTACCGGGGGCCCTGAATAGCCGGGGCATAGATATGGCCTAACGGCTGAAAGTTGTTTCTGGGAGCTCTCCACAGGTGATCCACATCTGCATGGTGGCACTAAGTGTCACCGGGTGTTTATCACGTGTGGGATGTCCTGGTGGGGTAAAAAAAAGTCAGTCAGTCAAACAGGCAGAGAAACTGGCACAGGAAAAGAGCTGACAGAAACAGTAGAGAGAGGAACTAAAAAGAAATTGGGTGTTGAAAAGTGAACGAGGGAGGAAGAATATAAATAACTTTAGCACACACCTGTTACACTTCCACGTGTGGACCACTTCATAATCAGTGATGCCGTGAAGGTCTGCCTGGTAATCCAGGAAATCAAACAAGTACTTCACCACAGGTGGCACATAAGGTGATGCACATAACATGTTCTTGAAGAAGTCATCAACATATTTCTGCAGTGTACCCTGTTCAGAAAAAACACATCACACACAGTAAGTTCAACCGTTGGATGTAAGACAAAAATTGAAGTAAAACTGATATAACCTGAATTTTGCAGGACTGAAAAATCAAGAGTTTGTGTTACAAAAATTGGCTATGACTAGCTAACAGGATGATGTAATATATTCTGGGTATGCAGAACGGTGCCCTAAAACCAGTACCATTGCACTTCAGTTCTCTAGATCACACAGGTGTCTGTGACGTGGAGGTGGTGGCCATCAAATCTAGTCACTATAGCAGCAGAGTCCATAAATCTCTTGACAACCATTTTTTTTTAATACCCTGGGTGCTAATACACCTTTGGTACTTAACTGTAAACACAGTTTTACTTATTATCATTCAGTCACAACCCTTGTACTTCTCAGGCTTATTTATTTTTGGCAACCGCAGGTGTCTTTCATTTCCACTGGCCAGACAACGTGTCTGCTTTCAAGAATATGTCAGTTAAGTAATTTTGTCAATGATGGTATGTACAAGCAGTTCTACTGACTAATGTATTGTGTTGATGAAGTCTCTCTAGCCGCAACATCCACTTTTCACTTGTGTTTGTTATATTGTGAAGCTCATTGGTTTACATTTCATTTATTTGATATCTTTTCATGTTACTAAAATTCCTGCTAATTGGGGACTAAAACAAGCATCATAAAGAATACAGAGATTATCATCCACTATTGTTTTTCACATTGTTGTTTCCATGACTATTTATTATTAATCATCATCATCATCATCATGTGCCCTGCCAACTGGCGTAGGCACTCACACGATCCCTGGTTACCCGGAACAGGTCCCTTAATGATATCCCTCCATGTCATTGTTTCAGCCCATCCAGCGTAATTTCTCTTGGTCTGCCTCTACACCTCTTTCCACTGATCTTTCCAGTTGTCACGATGTTTTTCAGTGTGTATATATATATATATATATAAAACATCAAACTCAAAATGTAAATTCATTCTTCTTTACAAAAATTTATAATTTTATAGGGATTATAAATATTTTACATTATATACTCAATTTTTATTATACCACCCCCCTCTGCCATTTTTGTAAGGGGAAAATAATGTGAGCCAAGTCTATCAAAATTCACAGGCATGAAAGAATTAAGATACTGCATCAGACTCTGTAGATTCATTTCACAGACTGCATTGTCTGGTTCAAGATTTCTAAGGAGATCCATGGGGATCATTACTGTTTTACGAGACACTCTCGGCAGGCAGCAAGTAATTCTATGGAAAGACTGAGCTATATGAGACACTTTCGGCAGGCAGCTAGTAATTCTATGGAAAGACTGAGCTATACGAGACACTCTCGGCAGGCAGCAAGTAATTCTATTGAAAGACTGAGCTATATGAGATAAGGTGCAATCCATGCAATCCAGTTGATCCTCTTGATTGTAACGGTATTATTAGCTTTAAAACAAGTGTAACCTGTCTCCGAGACAAAGAGTATGATAAATTTATTTATTAATTTAACTTGTGTATATTTCTCACCCCATTTATGTCTCTCCCCCCCGCCCCGCCCCCCCTTTTTTTTTTTCAAACGTCTTCTTACTTATTTCATGTTGTAGTATATATAGCCCTTTATGTCCATATTTTCACCCCATTCCTTACGTCCTTCTTAGGACGTTATTTTTTGTTATTTGAAGCCCCACTCTGGCTTTTGCCAGGGGCCGCAATATAGGCAGGTCATCATTATTGAACGCGGTTTCTGGGACCTCTCCACGGTGATCCTCATCCGCATGGTGGCACTTTGTGCCATCGGGTGTTTATCGCTTGTGTGATGTCCTGGTGGGGTAGAAAGTCAGTCAGTCAGTCATATTTTCACCCCACTATGCATTTCTTGGTTTTATGTTGACCTTGATTGTTTGGAACTTCTGTAGTTTTGTCAACTGAATTATTATTCAGTCACGGTTTGTGTTGTATTTAGTACTCCAGTGATAAAGACTGGTTGAATCATTCAGTTGCATTTATGTGCGACTTTTCCAAACCTTCAGCTAGGCTTTCTAGTCACATTTTACATCGTATTTAGCAATTCTATAATAAAAGATAAAAACTTGACTTTAAAACCATTAGACTTTGTTCCCATGAGGTTTCCCGTGAGGGTTTAGGGACCCACTGTTGGTGGGGGAGGGGGAAAGGACCCACTGCTTCCCCAACAAGCCTGACATAGGAGTGAATTAACTGTGGGCATCCTTTGAAGTCAGAGTACAACTCTTAGGTTTTGCAACAAGACTAAAATCCAGAGGTCAGAAAACACCCAGATCTTTCTGAGGGAGTTCCCACGAGGTGAGTCAGTAACTCAGGAGCTTATGGAGTCTCACCTTTGTAGAAAGCAGCCTGGTCAGGAAGATCTCTGATATCATTTTAACCCCTCCATCTTTGACTAGCGTGTCCTCATGTTTGACCTTATGGAGGAAAACAGTTTGATACAGATCATGTTATTTCAAATGCAAACAAACAAACAAAACTATGAACATAATTTTTTTTGGTTCGTCTAAGATTATTTTAGTTTATTTCTTTCTTCCCTAGTCCTACAGGTCAATACAGCCTAAAGTGGGTAGGGGGGAATATTTGTGGGAAGTAAAGGTGGCTAGCATTATATAGACAACCCAAGCCATCAAGGACTAACTAGTAAAAAAACATGTGGGATCAGAACCATCTACACAATAATCCTCACTGTGTGAAAATCCTAGTGTGGGATCCAGAGCTCCGTGTTGGAGAACAAAGAGTTGACCCCCTAACTTCCCCCCCCCCCCCCCACTTTTAAAACAGCATGTCACAGGAGGTGACTTATTAGGCGTGTTTCCTTCTAATTTGAAGTGCTTCTGCCTGAGAGGCAAGGAACCAACAGTCTGCATAAGCTAAAGTTGTCAAATAGATGTGCACACAAAACTCAAGTTATGGATCAAGGCCAAAGCCAGAAGTAGACAAACAACCAGAAATGTTAGCCAGAGTTGACAGCTAGTAAACACTAAGAAGAAGAATACTGTGAAAGAGGTAGGTTATTTTGCATACACACTCCATCAAAAAAGTAGTAAATTACATAAGTCCTGTGATTGCAGAAATGTAAATTATGCATTGTTGGCACCTTTTTGTCTTTCTAAATGAGTGTTACATTGTGCTTTAGGGAGGCCTGCAAATCACAGACCATGGCAAACGGGTAATTAAAGGCAGGGGTGAAATTCTACATCGTTGACAACAAAGCCCAGGCAGTATTGAAGAGACCATGTGTTGCCCAAGCACTCCATCAAAAAGAAGTAAATTACATAAGCCCTGTGATCGCAGAAATGTAAATTATGCATTGTTGGCACCTTTTTGTCTTTCTAAATGAGTGTTACATTGTGCTATAGGGAGGCCTACAAATCACAGACCATGGCAAATGGATAATCAAAAGCAGGGTGAAATTCTTCATCGTTGACAACAAAGCCAAGGCAGTATTGAAGAGACCATGTGTTGCCCAAACAGCATGATCACTACCCTGATCTGCCTTGTTTACTCCAGAGGAAAGCTAAATGACAATACATTTAGAACAAAGCATGCCACAGGAGCTGTCGGATCAGAAAAGCAGTGCTTTGACTGCTGTCCGCCTCCTGGAGTTTTCCTTCTAGATCAGCTGCCAGCCAAGGCTGAATGCCTTAAACAACTTTAGTTCAGTTTTTAAATAAACCCCAAAATCTGTGTAGCTGTTTAAAACAAGCAATTAAAATATATTAAAAACTCAATATCTCAAGGATATTTATCATGTTAAACATAAACAGTTCATTTAAACATGCTGTAACTAGGTGAATAAAAACAAATCTTACCAAGTGCCATTCTTTGAAACCTGAATCTTGGTCTTTCTTGAGTATTGGTGATACAGAACCTATAGATAACACAGAGTTATCCAGGGAACCTGAAATAAGGAAGAAGCCAGAATATGAATTTCAAAGAAAAGTTGTACCATCTCTACAATAGAGGCTGGATGTAATGTATCTACTGATAACTATAGGAATATTTCGTGGTGAGGCCCCAGTCTCTTCCATGGTGCAACTCTCCTACTACTGTCTCAAAACCATTAGAATGGTCTTTTTCTGAACTGTCTATAATTAAAACCTGGTAAACATTGAGAACCATATTGTGAAACTGAATCACTAACCTGTAGGTAATAAAGCCAAACATAATTAAAATGATGCAAATGTTAATCTAAAATATTATGAACTGCATAAATGCAATTATTATTATTTTTGATAACTATCTTCTTTGCCGCAGTGGGGGAGATTGTGTTTCTCAATTACCCCAAGAGCTATGCCCAATCTTGCGTAGCTACCAGCAGAGTCTTCTAAGGAACAAAGGTCAAAGGGTAGAGAAGAGACAAAGAGAGATACCCTGGCCCTCCAGTTTGGGAGTTGAAGCATAGGGCCGACGCCCCCACCTGTAAAACGTCATTTAATCAAGAAACAGTTTTCTAAGCCTTATAGACAGACCTGCAAACACTTGGTGTCATCAAATTGAAAGAGAAGGCCAACCAGAGACATGAGTGGAGGTGGGTGATATCTGCAGCAATGAAACTCAAGGGCTCAGAATCCTGAATAAGAAGAATCTTCTTTCACTGGAAGGTTATTTATACCTCACCCTTTTCTCCTATGCCAGTCCAACACACAGCTCTCTAATTTTCTCTCGCCTTTTTTTTCCAGGTTTTTATATCCAGCATTTGCTATGTCACATCCGATCGACTGATCTGGTGATTTCTGTCTCTTTTTTTCAATGAAGTCTGTCGTCCATTATTTTTCTCTCTAAACCACTGTCCCGTTAAATATGGCCAATATCTTTCAATTTCCCAGGTATATGAATATTTAGGTTCTAGGTCACAGTTTACAAGACATAAATTGCCAGTTCTCTTAGAATAAATTTAACATAGCATTACCGTCAACATAAAAATTCCATATTTAAAAAAAAATTAACTTCCTAAATTTAGTTTTTCTTTCATGATGATTATTATTGTTATAATAATTATTGTGACTGATAAATATTTAGTACATTTCTGTTTCATATGTCCTGAAATGTAAAAATTATACTGAAAGTATGACCAAAATATTAATAAGTTTAACAAAATTTAACATAACAGATTACTTGGATGTTGCTTTCAGGATGTTGCACATCACATCAAGTATTTGTGTGTTTGAAAAAGGCACAGTACCCACCATTAATATACTTGACTGTCTGTTGTCTGTGTAACAATGTCATGTATGCACCATCATGTACACGATAAAATGAAAGTGTGTTCAGACGTCGCCAGCCATCTTTGTTATATGAGGCAATGTCGATATCTGTTAGCATCAAAGGACCTGTAGGGCCATTACGCCATTCTGGTGGTAAAAGAGATAACAGAAATATGATGTTTAAAATTACAACATGTATGCTTACTTTGAAATATTTCTTATTCTAAAATTATTACATAACTAATTGGGGGAAAAGTAGAAAAGTAAACATAGTTTAAAAAAAAAAATGTTAATAATATAGTTAAATCACTGAGTCTCACCATCGTAGTAACAATATAGGAAATTACCATGATACAAACATGACCGACTCCAGCTAGCAGGTCATGCTGCCGGCGTCACTGGGTTGGGCTAACGATGCGTTAACCCAGCGGTCCTCAAACAAGAAAAAAACTGTTTTCCACAGTGGCGAGGAAAGACAACTTCAATTTTACCTATAAAGAATCTACATGCCTTCTTTAATAATTTAACAATTTTTAGCCAACTTTTCTTGATTATTGCCGTGGCTTGCCTGGCATACACTCACGGCACCCCAGGGTGGCTTGGCACCCAGTTTGAGAATGGCTGCGTTAACACATCGTTAGCCCGATCCGGTGACTTTAGTAGCATAGCCCGTCAGCTAGAGCCGGTCGTGATACAAATCAGTTATTTATTACTACAACAAAAAGAGTATTGTCTGTTTTCATCTTTTTCTATTTATAATCTATTGCTAGTCACAGCAGTGTGGTGTCTAGCACACTTGTTTACAGTGGCGAGGGTAATCTATTCACATGTGTAGGCGCTAGCACGTAATGATTACAATGAAGAGGGTGTCAAGGGATATTTTTCTTCTCATCACTTCACTGTTGGAGAGTATGCATGCTATCATCGTACTATTAGTAACTGGTAGCTCTCAGTCATTACAGTTTCTGCATGAGTGTCATAAGCATGCAGCAAATGTTCTTTTCCCATGTTGATACTAATAACACAAACTTTACATGCTCGGCGAGATGTAAACCGAGTAGATTTTTTGTAATAAATAGCCAACAGTAATAACAAACAGTAAAATAATGCATATTTTGGCTGTCCTCTGAAAAACAGGCACATATTATGGTGGCCAAAAACACACCCTGACAGGGCCTCAGTCACATGTAAATTGCAGACTTCTGGTGACTTCCGCCACCGCTGAGAGTATCACTGATTGCTAATTCCTCTTCTTCTTTACTTCCTCTTGTGCCACTTTAGGTGTCAAGAGAGACATAAAGTGTGAGTTGGTTGAGGGCCTATGCTCCATCGGGGAATAAAGGGTAGGAGAAGCAACAGCTAACAAGAGAAAGAGTTAATGGAATTAGTGTGATAGAAACAGATAAAGAAATAACCAAGATAAAGTAGATGAAACTAACAACTATCTTTGACAATATATTCCATGTAATAATCAGAATGCTGCAAAGCTGTTATAACATGCTGGAATGTCTGATTGATGTTTTACTCCACCATCTAATCACAATGAGCAATAAACACCTGATGAAACAAAGTGCCACCATTCAGATGAGGATCACCAAGAGAAAGATTCTAGAAACCCTGTTTAACTCATTGGTTAGGTTATATTACGGCCCCCGGCAACAGCCAGGGTGGGGCTTCAAATAATGAAAAACTGTGTCCCACATGGGGATGGAACTTATGTATAAAAACTTGCTGGAACACGAAGATCCGGATCAAATAGCTGACTTACCTAGTTCCAGGTCTCTGATGTTAGGCCTCTGTGAGAAGGGAATATTTTTATAAATATGGTCAAGGATTTTCTCTTTAGCCTGTGTGATGGTGTCACAGTCCAGAATACGAACTTGGACAATTTCTCCACCACTCTCCACATTAAGTGTCTGAAAACAACATAAGACTTCTATGAAACTTACAAAAAGTCAACAGTTCATATCAGAGTAATGCTTTTCTTCCCCATATGTAGTCATTTTTCAAAAATATCCTATTTAACCCTTAGGGTTATAATTGGGATGTATAGTGGTAATTGAATTCTTAGAGTATACATTAAAAAAAAAATTAATATTTTGTAATTACTTATACGACTAAATTGTTATTTGCATTGTTTCATATTCTGCTTTGATGTGGGATATGATTGTGATAGAAATTGTACTATGAATAATTAGACAATCTTAGTAACATTGTGTCATTAACATGGTGGATATATTGTTTTCTTAGTGTCTGATCACTGATTATTCTCCTTGATTATCTTTATCTTTAGGGGAAACTTCTTCAAAGATGCTATGGGCATTTTTACCCTTCTATATATGGATTCTAGTACTAATAATTTATCATACAAAAGCAGTCTAATCACTAAAGATCTGGTTTTGAAGGATAACAAGTAAGTAACAAAATTGTACCCCACCAGGACATTACATAGAGCAATAAACATCCAGTGACACAACGTGCCACCACGCGGATGAGGATCACCCATGGAGAGGTCCCAGAAACCGCGTTCAACTATTAGGCTATATTGCAGCCGCCGGCAACAGCCAGAGTGGGGCTTCAAAATAATGAAAAATTGCGTCTCACATGGGGTGACAATGATTAAAGAAGGATAACCAAAAAAAAAAAAAAAAGCTGGGCTCAACGGACAACAGTTGTGAAGCATGATGTAACACTTCTTAAAGTAATACTTAGACCAAAAGAAAGCTATAATGATTTGGATTTAAAAACATAAAGGAGTACAAGAAGGCAAAATGTTGAAGAAACAAGACTGAGAAAAACATTTACAAATCAAGTGTGCACATATGTTTGAATACAGACATGCACATGTAAATGGTGGTACAAGGCTGACAACAATGCATTACAATAACAAGAAAAATAGCTGAAATACTTGATGATGACAGCGGTACATCTCTGATTTTGGTCCCACAATTAAAGATAACTTTTATGCACAACCTTAAGAATTCACCACAAACAATGTCATCAAGAACATCTGATGATTTACTTCACTGTATTTGAGTTTATCCCCTTTGGCTTGTTCTCTTTCTTTAGAACAACTAGCTGCTACCAAAAGGTCACACAAAGCATGAACTCTGTAGCTCCAATGATGATCCCCATGAATATCAGTAAAACTTGCAATTGTGAACCAAATAATAAAGTCTGCAAACTCGATCCATGAAGCAAACAGCTTAACCCCTATGCCTAATGGGGTAGCAAGCCTAAATCTGTGTTTCAAACCCATATGTGTATTCTTAATTTATTTAGTAAAGATAAGATGACAATCTCTATCTGTTGTATTCTTTACATGCCTCAGGGTCACTGTTCATTTTGGAGATCATCTTCATCACACTTTAGACATGACCATAAGTGCTCTGATCTCATCCTGAGTATGTCTCTGAGTGTTTTTGGCCTAACAATTCCTTTTCTGGTTGGATCTACCAACAGGTGGTTCCGACATGGTTTTCCTGCCTTGTGGCTCCAGTTAGTACACCCAGGGTATGCAGTCTATTAACTGAAAAATAATTTTTCATGAAATTCAGCGTCAATAGTGTGTATGCCATTATTAATAATTTATTTAGAATCAACTTCACAAAATATCTATTAAAAAAAATTTAACTTACAATAAATCTTGGTTCTATTTTTTCTCTCAGAAGTGTGTCTTCAGACAGGGAATATCTGGCATCCCCTGTCACCGCATCAACAGGTCCCTTCTCTGCCTGAAGTTTGATAGCTTTGTACAGCATGAACAGGGATGCCCCTGCGTAATCCTGGAAGAAAATGGTTATGCATGTTAGAGAATCTAACCGTCGAGACCTGTCAAAAGCATGACAGATTTGATTTTTATGCATAATATTCATGATACTTATAGTCATATAAGATTGGTTTCTTTTTAAGAGTGAATTATTAAGTAGTAAGTAGTCCCCCCCCCCCCCCCCCTCCCCCACTTCCCCTCCCCCATTTCCTTCAAACAAAACTTTGTAATTGTTTTGGTTTACTGTTCATGATTAGTTTTATAGTTCTGATTCATAATAATTAGATACATTTAATTTCTGACATCACAATAATTAGTTACCTTATGCAAAAACTCACTTTAAGCATAAGTAGAAAGAATATTGGAAAATAATAACAAAGCTAAAAGAACTAATTAATGGGATGTCCCTCTCATGATAAACCGACCCCAGCATGAGTTGAGTTGAATCTAGAATTGATATCACTCAGGGCATTCCCATGCATGCTCCATTTTCAGTAGCCAGCGCAGTTCCAATATTAATGGCACCAGTCTTAATCTGGTTTTATGTCCGTCTTGCCTTTCCCTTGAGCGTAGTGAACTAGCCAGACCCCCTGGTGCCTCATTCTCTCCAGGCCATAATTATCTTGCTTTGCTTATGACTGTTGCTTGTTCCCAAAGGGCCTGACCACATCTGACCACACCCCAGTATTTATCACTTTAACATAGACAACATTAAATTACTGCATATGTATGATAATTCAGTACAGAATGCACATCTAAATTATTTATTTTCACTCAACAGAAACACAATGAATAGTTTGAAATGGTTACATTCTCTTTCCCTGCATACATTTGTTAGTAAGTTTTTAAACTAGTGATATGCATACATTTCTTATCTTTTCTAGTAGAATGTAAAACATATACAAATTTGCATGGTTATTAACAAACCTCATTAAAAATAATGGCATCGCACTTACCCTGAGATATTTATATAAACAAATAGAAAGCCAGTTGGTCAAAAGCTTTTCAACCACAGACTCTGACCTGAAATGTGGAAACATGGAAAAATATGTAAAGACATGAGGAAATCCAACCTAAACAGACAACGAAGGAACATCTAAAAAAAAAAAAAAAATCACAATTTAGAAAAGGAAAGGAAAAGCAAGGCACCTAGCAACTCATCTGCTCACTTTAATTTAAGAAAAAAAAAATTGAAAAATATGCTGTAGTCAGCTAGATCAAATTGTTATCTGACTTTTGTGTGTGCTTAGGAAGGCTACACAAGGCTATTAATACTAAAATAAAAACAATGAATATTTAACTAAAATTTAGTGTAGACATTTAATAATATTTATTGTCTTGAACTCTTACCTCCTGAGCATTAGCTTGGGGTGTCTGCCTTCCACAGACTTGTGTACAAGATCTACCAGAAGGCACTTGAGGATTCTGAGAGAAGAAGATAAATAAAAGCAAGTGTCAAGAATAACATACACTATCGGACAACTGTTATTTTTAAAGCATGTGTCAAGAATAACATACACTATCAGACAAACTAACTGTTATTTTTAAAGCATGTGTCAAGAATAACATACACTATCAGACAAACAAACTAACTGTTATTTTTAAAGCAAGTGTCAAGAATAACATACACTATCAGACAAACAAACTAACTGTTATTTTTAAAGCATGTGTAAAGAATAACATACACTATCAGACAAACAAACTGTTATTTTTAAAGCAAGTGTTACGAATAACATACACTATCAGACAAACTAACTAACTGTTATTTTTCCAAATATTTTCCATACCTTTCTGTTAGGCCAACAACAACAAAACAGAAACTACTTTCAATTTATTTTTGTTATCTGTATCATTCTGCTGACTATGGTACTTCTCTGGTATCTGGTAACAAGTTTGCAATTTATGGGGCTGAGTTTTCTTAGTGTAATGTAAAAATGGTTTCAAATGACTTCACATAAATAGGATTACCAGATTACCAGATTTTTTTTTATAGCCCAATTGCCAGTAGCAAGCCATCATTAATTCTGCATCATAGAATCACTGAAGAACTTTCAACTGAGAGGTTCTGGCAGATGTTCGAGGCTCAGAGGAAAGGCAAGACGGACGTTTAATCAGAGTGCTACTGGGACAATAACTATTGGAACTTTTCGCTGGCTGCTGAAGATGGGGATGAAGTGCTTATGGGAATGCCCCGAGTGCTGTGATGTCGGTTCTTGAATCAAATCAAATCAAATAAACTGAAAAAAAACCTCAAAAAATATTTCAATGAATGGGTAGTGACCAATATGTGCTCCCTTCTACTTCTAACTCAAGCCTGAGTCTGAAGAATCTCAGCACAGTGCATGAGCTCTGTAGCACCAGTGAGGATCCTGATATCAGCCTAATAATTTCTTTATGAATAAAAATGATTTGATGAAAATTACAAATGATAATTGTTTCACATTAAAAGAATAATTTGTAAACATCTTCTTCAATCTTGTATCCAGAAAAAATTATAATACTCACTCTGTTGCATACTCCATGTTGTTGAGATAGACAATCATCAGTAATGATGCCACATTGGCTCTGTGGCAGAGAAAAAGGGGGAGGGGGATGTAAAAATATATTAACATGGTAGAAAGATACATTTTGTTTAACTACATAAGGAAAACATATTGCTACAAATAGTTTTAATGACCTCTTCAACTGCCCTAAGAATCAATGTTTGTTTCCTTAAATTCCATACCATATGGTGTTGGTTATCATGCGTTTAGAGTCTTCTGTCTTTTGTGCAACAAATTAATTTTTACACATATGTTCCTTCATGTCATACTGGCAAACTATTCAACATCCTTCCTCTTGTCTCCTTTACCTCTCTTGCTCTATAACTTGTTTGTTGTCAGAACATACTCTAGTTTTCCCTTTCTCTTAGTATGTGAGTTTTTTTTAAAGGCGTTTTTATTACCAGTGCGAGCCTGTTTTGACCCATTTACCCTGGTGGCCTACATTAAAAAAAAAAAGAATCAAAGACAATGACCAATATTACAGAAATTATTGAAAAAACTATTAAATTTTTTTTTCACAGGTAACACACAAAAATATCAACAATTCCAGTCAGTTTTGAGACTTATTGCAGTGACAGGTTTAATGCTGAAGCTATTCTAAGGTAACTGAAATAATCTGGACAAAGAAAGTAAAGATAAAGATAACATACCTATCTCTGATGCTGAAAGCTCTCTGTTCTTCCAAAGTGCGAATAAAAGTTGTTATAAAAAGTTTCTTGCTCAAAAGTTGATGAAATAATTGTAAGCCATGATCAGAAAACTGAAAACGACCATTCTTTTGCTGAAAAACCAAATAAAACAAGTTAAAATTCAATTCAAAAACAGACTATGTAACTTCATCAATGGTCCTTCCCACTGAGTCCCTAGCAATAGGTAAAGTGTTCTTACATTTATTTTAGCTTCGGTCTATTTGCTAGAGAAATCAGGCTACCCCAGGTATCACTTCTTTTTGTGTATTGAACCTCTTAGTAATTAAAACACTGATAGTTATCTTCTTCTTATCTTCCTCTATTCTGTATTTCTAATTTGTTGCATTCATGATTTATTATAGTGGATATTTCTCCTGCTAATAAAACAAAACAAATTTTTTTTTAAATCAAAGATTCTTCTACTCATTATTCACTTCCTCTTTTATTACTTTTGGTGTTGACATAGATATAAGAGACTGCTTTTTGCTCTTCTAGCCACCTCAGCTATAGACACATCATGCTGTTGTAGAGTTTCTCTGATGGTATCTTTCCATGTTGTTCTTGGTCTACGTTGTGCTCTACGTCCTTCTCCTCTAATGGTGTGTAGGTTGTATAGCATGGTGATGCAAGGCAGTCTTTCTAAGTACCAGACATCTTATTTAATCATTTAATGACTTAAACAACTCATTACCATATATATCAGATTGATTAATATGGCATGTCATTCATCTCTTTTCACAGAACAAACTATCCAGACAATTTCGATGTCTTTCAATCAGATACCTCAATACTTCTGCAAGCCTGCCTTCTTGTAATTGACGTTCAATGTTACCATGAACTCCAGGTTACATGTTTTAAAACATGCTCTCTTATGACTCATTTCAGAGAGAGAGAGAGAGAGATAGAGAGAGAGAGAGAGAGAGAGAGAGAGAGAGAGAGAGAGAGAGAGAGAGAGAGAGAGAGAAAGAGAGAGAGAGAAAGAGAGAGAGAGAATATTTTCTAAGGGTCACAAGTTGTGAAGACAGATAGCCCTGTCTTGCATTCAGCTCTTCCATGTATACATATTACACACACACACATACAGGCACGCATACATGAAAACACTCATAGACATACACCGATTCATGCACAAGGAAAATAACTACAATAACTATTATTTTGTGAAAATTAACTTACTATTGGAGGATGAAGTATAATATGATCTGTCATTCCAGGGAAGAGAACTTTGAATATATAACTGTGAAAGTCCCAGAAAGGAATGCCACTGGAGACTAAATCCCCGGTTAGATCTGTCATATCTGTCTGCAGTTCAGCAAAAGCTGGATGAGAAATGAAAGACAATGCATTAACACTATTTTATTTAATTGTTTATACAGCAAATAATAATAGCAATCTACTTCTCTACTTTTTCTTTGTGTTTAACATTTATAAATCCCAGTGGAAAGCTCTGGTTGTTCGCCTACTTGTGGACTGCAGTCTTGCTCCAGAACTTGAGTTTTGCAAGCATGTCCGTTATATAGATTTGGCAAATTTATAAGCAGGTTGTTGGTTCCTCCTCTTTTGAACAGATGCACTCCAATTTTGAAGAGAAAATTGTTGACTAGTATACTTTTATGACATTGGAGAGAGGGTTGTGTGTGTGTGTGTGTGTGTGTGTGGGGGGGGGGGGGGGTTCAATTTGTTTGTTCCTTTTTTTCCCTCCCAAAATGGAACCTACACAGAGAACAATATACTAAAATTTTGACTTTAAGTAAACATAAGGTTTTAATATCTTTATTTTCAATAAAGTGTCCCTTCTATATTTCACTGGTGGAGAAATACAAAAAAAAAAAAAAAATTTAAATACCTGTAAGAGCTGAGTAGCAAAGAAAACACTCAAAAATTAGTTGTGATTGGAGTCTGTTTAGTCGCACTGTACTATTTCTGTCCTAAATAACATATACAGGTTAATCAGCTAGTTTTAGTGTATCCTAAGAAATACACAATGTGGTTTTACACTTTTTTTTTATTTGCTTTGAGCACACTCAAGACATCTGGCTTGTTTTACATACAGGTGAATGTTGCCTTTTGAAAAGGAATAAACTCATTTTGTTTCCTTGTGTCTTGTTTCTCCTTCCAGTTTTGGGAGTAAGCTGTGAAATCTGCCACCAAAAGTGAGCAATCAGTGCTGTCTTCAAAGTATCACAAGTGTAAATTCAAATTCAACAATTATGAGGGAACAAAAATCTAACCTTGCTTGCATTCATTCCTCACATTGCTTTCAAGATTATCCAACTGTATCTGCAACTTCCTGTATATTCTCTCGGCTTTTGTGCTCTGTCTGCGGTAGATGATCAGGATGAGGACAATAACCAGCAAGAGAAAGCCACCTCCAGCTGCGATGCCTGCAATAGCTTCTGAGGGAAAGGTGAAGGTCTCAGGGACGTCATATTCAACGCGGCCAACAATAAACTCCAAGTTGTTTATTTTCACCTGAAAGTACAAGGAAATCAATGATTTGGTGTCCCCCAGCTGGTGATATTACTCACTGTGGATAATTATGTTTTGGATAGTCAGACAACTCACCAAAATGACAAGTAAAAAATAGCCATAATTACAATCTAGACATATTTCAGCAAAAATAAAAGTTTACATTTCACGACATATGCCAAAATATTATTTTATACGGGGTATTTACCTTGACATAGGGTAAACTTTTTCTGTCTTTTTCTCCAGACGCTGATGCTACACTCTGAGGCTGAGAGCTGGGAAGCTTGCAGACGATCTGTGACTGAGAAAATGTTGTCACATTGCATGGTGCTGTTCCTATCATGACAGTCACCTCTGATTTTTCTGCAGCAATATTAAGGTCTGCCCCCTGTATAGTGAATACACAACAGTGTTATCAAATTGATCTTTTTCGTGATAATTACTGCAATCTCTTCCTTTTCACATTCTACCCCTCTCTTAGCAAGTTTATCTGCATTTGTTTTGTTTGAATTTCATATTATTAACAGCCATTTAAATAATATGTTTTGAATGTATCGGAAAAATATGGTGCATACATCATAGATGAAGGCCAATTAGCGGTGTCCGTGGCTTAGGCATTGGGAGTCCGACTTGTAATTCCAACATACCATGATCGAAACCCACTGCTGGCTGCATGGATTTTTATCATGGTATGGGGCGTGGCAGGTTGACCCAGCCTAAAATGGGTACCAGGATGGCTGTCCTGGGGAAGTAAAGATGGCCAGTGTAATGCTGACCAAATTACCCACCCAGTGCTGATTGGTCTGTAAAATATGGGTGCTCTTCCCATATGCCCGATATGTCTAAGGCGTGAAAAGGAATCTTTACTTCACTGAGAGCCAGCCTAGAAGGAAAGAAGCTCTGGCGAGAGGACAAGAGAAAGATTAAGCATCAGATGGATCCTAACAAGCATCTCGTAAAACCGACAAATTAGGGAAGTTTCCTTTAAAGTCAGTGTGTATCTGCCTGAGAGGCAAGGAACCAACAGTCTGCAATCAAATAACCTAGATCTGTCAAACAGATGAGCAAGAAAAATTCAAGTTCTGGAACAAAACCAAAGTCAAGAAATGGACAAACGACCAAAACTTTCTGCAGGAGTTTACAGTTGGTAAAAGCTAAGAAGAAGGATATTAATTAAAAAAAAAAAAAAAATTAAGTCACCATATTCTGGATGACACATCATCCAGTTTTGAAAAACATTACTTTCTTCTCCTCTATGCCAAATGGCACATATGGATCACAAACTATCATCCATACGAAGATTGACAGCCAGAGAAACAGACAGCTTGAGGTTTTTAGAATGCACAATAACTGGAAAGACTCCTAGTTAGAGTTTAGGTTTATTAAATGTACATATAATATTATGACTGTTTTCAACTGTAAAGTAGTTTGCCATAAATTTGTATATATATATATATTCACTGCTTTTGTGTCTATGTAAACAAGCTTACCTTTATGGTTCACTAAATATTTATTCATTACTGTTGCAAGCATGCAAGCATGATTGCATAGTGACTATATTTTTTACTCAACAGAATCAGTATAGTAAAGGTAAATATACCATTATTATACTGATTCTGTTGAGTAAAAAATATATTCACTATTGTTATCACCATGTGCAGTATAGTTTACCTCTATAATAAGAGCATCACCCTTGAGAATCTTGATTCCACTGGATTCGGTGAAGTTGTATACCCTAGGATTGGGGTAATACCTGAGTCCATGGTCCAAGTTGGGTACGGACGACAGATTCCGTACTGCCATAACACCATCCATAATGAAACCAAGCTGTACTGTCTTTACTGGCGACAGCTTGCGGTCTGTCTGTTCTGCTCGCTTGGAACGAATGATATTTTTCAATGAGTCAGCCAGTGGAGGTGTTGGACACTTCATTACATTGTTGTTCATGACTTGACATATCTGAAAAGAAAATATCAAGTTTGTACCTGGTCATAAGAATAGTTGAAAATCTACCAGTTTCTCAGATGTTTCGGAACCGGCTGACTATGGTTAACACCACCAGGACATCACACTGAGCGATAAACACCCGGAGACACAAAGTGCCACCATTCAAATGAGGATCACCCTAGTACAGGTTCCAGAAACCCTGTTTAACCTGTAGGGTTATAATCAGGGGTGGGACATCAAAATAATGAAAAACTGCATCCTGAACAGGGGCGGATTTATTCCTAAAATGTTTCAGAAGAAAAAAATGCAAGTTAACAACAATTTTTCTTCTTAGTTTTTTGCGTTCACCTTTAAGGGGGCGATGTTCTATCCCACCAGGACAGCACAATTAGGGATACACATCCAGTGATACAAAGTGCTATCATTCAGATGAGAATCTCCCAAAAACCAGTCCCAGAAATCTGTTAAGTTATATTATGGCCTCCTACAACATTTGGGGTGGAACTTTACAATAACAAAAACAATCGCGTCCCTTACTAGGGTGGAGTTAATTAATCTTTAGGTGGGCTTTTGGCACTTTGTAGTGTACTGTAATGCTATGATATCAGTTCTTTCATCCTACTTATCTGATTTAAGCAAATCTTTAATAAAATGCATGTTAAAAGTCAGTGAATCTCTTCTCGCACCACCCCACTCTCCTAAAAATGGAGACCTGTAGTGACTAGCCCAGACTTTAAAAAAGCAACTATCATGGACAGATGGAAATAACTATCTGTCCCAAAAGTTTTAGAAGCAGATGTCCAGAAGCAGGGAAAAAACCATATAAAAAGTGTAGACTTTCATAGGGGCTAAATAGACAGTGAAGTGGTTACTGTACGTAAAAAGACCTTGTGAAGTGGTTACTGTTTCGAAAAAGACCCTTCTTCACGCCTTTACGCATTTTCACATGTGGGGGCTAGACCTATATTTAACAGATCAATCGGAGCTCGGTGGATGATGTGGTCATCATCTTGCCAACCACTTTTACTTCCCAAAACTTTACCAAGTACGCAATTAAAGCTGGGCTGAACTGAGACCCAAGGTCATTTTTTAAAAAAATGGTTTCCCTTATTTCAGATTTCAACCCATGACCTTCCGATCTACAGGTGAGTGTCTAGACACTACACTAAGGCGGCTCCTGAAGTGGCTATTGTGGCAGCCAGATTTCTTTAGCAGGCTCAGATCAAATTTAACAAATAAAAAAGCACCTTGGACTTCCGTTGGAATTCAAGGGAAAGATTAGGTTACACACTGTGCTGTTTTAGTCTAAGAAAGTGAATGTCACTGATGAGCTACAATCTACTAAAATAACTCTCTGGCATAGAAGAAACACAGGACTGCTAGTTACATCAGACTGATACGGCAGTAAAAGGTAAGGTTGGGAAATGTTAACCAGTGCCATTGCACACGGTTATAAACCATAAGTGCTCTGCCACCAGTACGAACAGCTGATAAAAAACTGTCCGCCTGTGTCGCTGTCTGCACAAAACTCCGTAGCTACAGCGAAGTTCCTCCATTTACCCTAGAGTGTTAACTCTTGTACCCATTTTCCAGAGGCTGGGTGAACCCCGGAACCGTCCGGTTTTGAAAACCAGCCATGGGCTGTGGCAAAATGCAGCTGGATTTGAAAGCGAGTCTTCTATCAACTATGCTAACGCTGCCCCCTAGTTGTGGTGGCAGTTATGGGTGTCATAATTCTAACTTCCTTGGAAGATGAAGGGAGTTTTAAACATGTCCTGTTTGTCTTATGGCGTCAAACCTTCTGATCTCAGGGTATCAAACTTTTAAGGTAGCAGCCAGATATTTAACTTGTCTCTCTTTTGTTTCCATCTGCAAAGGGATCTTTACTTTTACTTATATATATATATATATGTGTGTGTGTGTGTGTGTGTATACTTACAGTTGTATTAGTTGGGTAGTATTCTCCACTGAGTGTTGGAACATATGCAAACATTTTTGGCTGTTCAACAGCTAAGAACTCTGTTCCTGTTACTGTGAGAATGCGACCACCCCTGTAAAAGAATAACGGAAAGAAAACGTAACAAAAACACGCACACAAAATATAATTGTAAATTATCAAGTACAAGCATGTAACTCATTCTCAGAACATGGAGTTGCCTGATAAGAAGTTCGAGGTATTAATTGATATAATGAGATATAGTTCGTTTTTCAAAATGTCCTTGAAAACAATTGAAGGGAAGTGTTCAAGAAGAAGACCATATGTTTTGACCCAAAAAAAAATCAATCAAGAGATTGACTAGAAAAAGCCTGTACAAATAAACAATGCAAAAACTTGACATAAGGTACTGGAGATGTAGTAAAGTCAATCTTCAGGGTGGAGATGCCACTTAATACTGAAGGTGTGTTGAGGAAAAATATCTGGAAAATTGTGAGGGGAAAAATGAGCGGAGAACTTTGAAAACAAACACAAACTTTCACTACATCAATTCATATTCAGTTCATTAAAAACAATAATAAATTTTATATTATTTATTAACAATGCTACCTCCCACTACACAGTTTGATAAATATACTCACTCCAAAATACTTTCAAGTGGTGCTATCCGTGTTATGGTAGGGTCTTCCTTGTACAAAAAGAATCTATTGAGTGTATATTCCTTCCCATCAAAGAACACTTTTATTGGATTTTTTGGCTCTGCGTGCCAAACTTTGGAAGTGATGCATTCAATGGAATGATTTGTCACATGGCTTCTGAAGAGAAAACAACAATAACAATGTAAGCAGCTGGTAATATACAAAATACACATAACACAACATTTAACAATATAAAAGGTCCCTTTTCCCCGCCTTCAGGTGTATTGGGAGTATAGGGCTAGACCTATATTTTTTCACAGTCCAAACAACACTTGGTGGGTGTTGTTCATCACCACGCTATTTTTACTTCCCTGGACTGCACCTGGTACCCACTAAAGGCTGGGTCGACCTGGGAGTCAATGTCATTTTTTTTTTAAATGTCCGGCTCTGTCAGGTAGCGAACCCACGATCTTCAGATCAGCAAGCGGGCGTCTAAGCGACTTCCTATATTTGTTCTTTATTCAGTTATCCAGTATTTTTATTGATTATACATTTAGCAATAATTAAAAATTAATAATTACTGCTAGTAAAATATCCAAGAAATAAATGTCCATAAAGTAAAAAAAAAAATTAAATTATCTAGTATGTTCAACAAACAAGAAAAGATTGCATAGTTATGTTGATAATATGGCTGGTAAATGTGCCCTCTCTGTTTAAAAAGAAATACATATTTAAAAACTTAATTAACAGAACAGTTACATAATGTTGCTAATTTTTTTTTATGCTGTGTTTTACCTAATGACCACACATGGGGCATTCCCAAAGGAAGCTTCGTGATGACCTCCAGTGTCCATGTCACGACCTTTGATAGTGATTCTGGACCCACCAGATTTTGGTCCATACTTTGGTTCTATGTCTTCAATCCTGGGACTCTGAATGAAAAAAAAAAAAAAATTACACATTATTTGAATAAGTGAATGTACAGAAAAATTGGTCTTAATGGAAACAAAAGTAATCAAGTACAGAGGGTTTGAAAAGACTGGGAATTTAAATAAAGTTAAATAGACTGAAAAATAATGTTTTAAAAACCATACAGGAGAAAAAAATTAAGGCAAATTAACAAACAGTAAGAGTAATACAAGTGAGAGGATAACATCAACAGATGGACAAATACCAGACTCATGAGTGTACAACAAGAGTGACAGAGAAAGATTATATTTGATTGAATAACTGAGCAAAGTGCTACAAGAAAGAGACAGATATTACATTTGTGCCATCCTAAAGTAAATTTCAGTTACTAGATTTGCCACATTCACAAGACTTACTTTATAGTGGAAGTTGGTGTGGTACTGGCTCATTGCTTTCTCCAGCCGTACTATAACAGGTCCATCAGCGACTTGTCCTCTCCATTTGGTTTGACATACAATTCTAATCAAACAATAACAGATTAATATCAATGTTTTCTTGTGATTTTAAACACTACAACCACACAAAAATATTTTACAAAATTTATGGTACATTTTGCTGTATCCAGTTAAGTGGTTAGTCTAGGACTGCCAAATTAAAATAAAAAATCTAAAACAAGATACAATTTAATTTGTAAATTCCAATAAAAAAAACAGTTTTATGTTTATGATTTATTGGGTATTGCTGTACATTTTGCAGTAAGCACCTGAAGGGAGGCAGCAAAATTGGCACAGTAAAAACTGTTCAATACACTGTTTGTGACTTGATTACTTAAAATTTATAAACATTTTTTTAAAACACATTTTTTAAAATGTGATAATTATTATATTAATCTAAGAAATCCACAATAAAATCTACACTGAAAAATGACTGTAGCCAAAACCTTTTAACACTCACAATTTAATCTGTAGTCCATATGAGTGGCTGTATCAAACTATTTGGCTTAGCTGGTAATTCTCCATAAGTGTATGACAGAAACTTATGTTTTTTAAAAACATCAATATCACATGAGTTTGAGAATTTTCTATAACGACCGACTGACTGAAGTTCAACCCCACTAGGACCCCATGATGAGCGATAAACACCTGGTCACACAAAGTGCCACCATTAAAATTAGAAACTCCTGGGCACAAGTCCCAGAAACCCTGTTCAACCCGTAGCTTATAATTAGGTCCCCTGACTAGAGCCGGGGTGGGACTTTGAAATAACAACAAAATTCGTCTCATACTGGGGTGGATTTATTTTCCATACAGTTAAACCTTCGAATATACAAGATCATAGCATAATAAAATAGGGTGAAATGAAGGAACTGCTCACTCTATTTTATTATTTAAAAAAAAAAAAAAGTAAGAAAAGAACCCTTTTCATGCCTTTCAGGTGTATCGGGTATATCGGTTGTCTTTACTTTCCCAGGACAGCCATCCTGGTACCCATTTTAGCCTGTTGACCTGCGACACCCCATACTATGATAAAGATCCGCACAGCCAGCAGTGGGTTTCGATCACGGTACATTGGAATTACGAGTCGGACTCGTAACGCCTAAGCCACGGACTCTGCCTATTTTATTATACTATGATATAATACAGGAATGTTTAACTGGTAGCCCGAGGGCCAAATCTGACCTGCAGAAGCCGAGCAAGTGGCCCATGAAACATTGCTAATTTTGTTGTATTAATAAAGTTTCTATGCTGGAGCTCGGTTCTTTGGCCCGTGACAATCCTCATTTTCAATATGTTGAGCCCTTAGTGAACTTAGTTGAATAGCCCTGATTCAGTATTTGTGAAGGTTTAACTACATGACAGAATTTGATTATCTTTTTTTTAAAACATAGCAACAACTGGGTAGACAAAATAAAGTTACCTTTTTGATGGAGAGTAGAGCGATCGAAAAGGTGTGCAACCAACATTTGCAATAGTTACTGCCCTTTCAATGTCTTCAAATTTGGAGCCCAGATTTCGTCCTTCTATTGTTACATTTGTGCCTCCTTGAATTGGGCCTGACAATGGCCAAACCTGAAACCAAAAAATAGAAACAGGCATGATCAAAGGGCGTTACTGAAATTAAATATGGTGGGTTTACACTTACTGGCGTACAAGAACCTGTCCGTGTTAAAGTTTGAGAGTAGTGACCTGGCAGAATTGTTACACTAACAACTGTTGTAAGATACTTGACTGGGTGTCTCTCTTGAAGCACACAACTCATAATTTTGTTTCCCAGTTTGGGTTCCGGGGCCCTATTATAGGGGGAATAAATAGACCCACTGCCTACTCAGAAGCATGTCGTAAAAGTTGACTAAGTGGGAGCTTCCTTTAAAGTCGGAGTTAATCTGCCTAAGAGGCAAGGAACCAGCATCTGCATACAAATGAGTCAGATTTGTAAAACAGATGCACACACCACACTCAGGTTCTGGAACAAGAACTGCAGTCCAAAATTGGATGAAAAACCAGAATTTTCCACCAGAGTTTACAGCTGGTGAACGCAAAGAAAAAGCAGATAATTTTGTTGTTGTTTAAATAGACTGTCCTGACATTGCTGTACCATATTTCTTTTGGGTTTAAGGCAGTGTCTTACAACAACAAATCTTGAGTTTGAGAATGTAGGGCTGATATATATTGTGTATATCACTTTCCGTCCTTTTTAGGATAACATTTTTTGTTATTTGAAGCCCCACCCTGGCTCTTGCCAGAGTCCCCAATATAGCCTGGCCATAAATATGGCCAATTGGCTGAACACGGTTTCTGGGACCTCTCTACGTTGATCCCCATGCTAAACCCCCTGGGACTGAAAGGGTTGATAAGGAATTGTATCTGAGTTTCTTAAATAAAAGCCCATCATTCTCATCTCTGCCTATATGCAGCTCGTTTGTTTTACAAGTCTGTATTTGTTGCAAGGATGTTAGTTATGTATACAAGAGAAGTAAATGCCCCCCCCCCCCCCCCCCCCACATTAATTTTACTAAACATGTTATTTTCTGGATTTGAAAATTGTTTTGATGAGTATCGCTAAGAAATGGACGACAAGTATCTGTGCTTATATACTGTAGTGTCCACTCTAACAATACTATTAATTCACACTGACATCAATATGATAGAAAAAATTAATGTAGACAACTATAATATTACCCTTATTTACTAATAATAAGTATATGTACTTTACAGAATCCCTGAGCTACAATTTGAATTGCAATTATTCAGCTTTCACTTGCAGACATTAAGGGGTCTACTATCACAACACACAAGTCTAATGAGAAGTCCAGGTGCCTAACTTAAAACATTATATGACAACAATTACATAGACTTGTCGTCCATTTGAGGATGATATTTTTTGTTATTTGAAGCCCTACTCTGGCTTTTGCCAGGGGCCGCAATATAACCTGGCCATAAATATGGCCTAAAGACTGAACACGGTTTCTGGGACCTCTCCACGGTGATCCTAGCCCACATGGTGGCACATTGTGTCATCGAGTGTTTATCACTTGTGTGATGTCCTGGTGGGGTAGAAAGTCAGTCAGTCAGTCCACTTAAAACAGACAGAAATACAACAAAAACATAGATTAAAACTCTGTCTTACCGACTCTATCTGTGGAGCTGGACAAGTGACTGAGGCGTGTTGCTTGCAAAAACTGGTGTGTACACAGGAGTTTTGACACCAGAAGCATTCAAGGTATGGCCGTGTGTAGTTTAAGTTGACACAGAGACTACACTCTCCTGCAGCCAGCACATCACATTTGTATATGGTAGCTAATACGAGGAAGTAGACATACTTTTATTACAATGTAGACACAACATAATAAACAACATATAAGGTTATTTTATATATATTTGTGCATATGACATATGGTGCCGGACCAAAATGTTATAGGCCAAATAGCTTTAAACCAGCGGTCTCCAACCGTTATTTTTTCGAGTCGCCTTTTATAATATAAGGTAATACCCTCACCACCCTGATATGACATTAGAGTGCATGGGCATTTACAGCTCGCTCTTCAGGCAGAAGAGTTTAAGAAGTCCTCTCCATGACTACTAGCAGCATGATGATGGAAGTGATGGCGGTGATACAAGCTTTCATGTGACTAGAACCACAGGACTATTCTCACGTGTGTGTGCTGAGTGATTCTTTGAGCATGATCCGGCGGGTCGAGGCAGGCTGGTTATGCAGACAGTGATTTGAGCCATTGCAAAACTCTCCTGTGTGTGCAGTACCTTCGTTTTCGTTCCAGGGCATGCAGGTATTTTTGGTAATGAAAGAGCTGATAGACTGGCAGGTGCTGCATTAATTGAAGATGGCCGGCCCGTGGATCACGCAGACATTGTCATTGCCCTTAGAGAGATAGGATGTTCTGAGGATTTTGGAAACAACATGTCCATATCATTGCTAAGAATACGCGAATTGGGAGTTAAGATTGGCACAGCCAAGCATGAGAAGCACACCAGACACTCACAAAGTCTTGTTAACCAACATAGGACTGGCACTATTAACCGCATGACGCTGATGAATGTTGAGAGGGGAATCTGAGCGCCTATGGATGTGTCCGGAGTGCTGTGAAGATAATCTAACTCATAGCTAATTACTCTTGCCCCTAACATATAAGTACGAAAAAAGTAAAGGACCCTTTTCCACGCTTTTAGGCTAATAGGGCATATAGGGCTAGACCATTATTTTTATAGACCAAACAGCAAGAAAATGGATGATGTGGTCAGCATCATGCCAGCCGCCTTTACTTCCCAGGACCGCACCCGGTACCCACTCAAGGTTGGGTCAACCTGGGAGCTAAGGTCATTTTTGAAAAAAAAAACAGGCTCTGCCAGGCAGTGAACCCACGACCTTCCGATCCACAGGCGAGCGTCTTGCCACTAACCCACAGGAACTCTCCACCCCCCCCCCCCCCCCCCCCTTCCCACGACCCAACCTATGCATTGAATTAATGAATCAAGAATCGGTATCACTGCATTTGGAAAATTACCACACAAGATCTGTTCAACAGACTTCATCAAGACCTTTTGATTACTCTAAGGTCAATGAGTTTTTAATACTCTGTTCTGCTGCACTACCTACTTGATCCCTGAGTCTTTATGATGCTTGTTTTATTATTAAGTAGCCTGTCACCCAGAGGCGTTACAGTAGCCAATCCATCATCTTACACTGTACCGCACAGCTGCATATACTGGTAGAAAATCTATGGTATGCCAGTGATTTTAATCCTACCAAATAGAGAATTGGTACAAACTAGATCACTCAAATGCTACAGTGGGACACTACAAAAATAACAGAGGTAGTTCCCTAGTAAATACTGTTAGTACCTGTGTGGTTTCCAAAGCCTCATTGTAAAAAAGTAGTAAGTAAAGGGCCCTTTTCCACACCTTTAGGCGTATAGGGCATATAGGGCTAGACCTATATTTTTATAGACCAATCGGCACAAGATGGGTGATGTTGTCAACATCACGCCGGCCACCTTTACATCCCGGGACTGCACCCAGTACCCACTCAAGGCTGGTTCGACCTGAAAGCCAAGGTCATTTTTGAAGAAAGTCCTATTTCACCAGGGAGAGAACCCACGACCTACCAATCCATGGCGAGCATCTAGCCGCTCTGCCATGTGGACTCCCAAGCCTCATTGTGAAGGGGATAAAAAGAGAATATACCCACTGCACCCTTAACAAGCATGTTGTAAAAGGCACCAAATTAGTTCGCTAATATAGGATGTGTTGGGCCAAAAGCTTGCCATTTTAATAAAAGAGGGTGGGGTGGTGGGGGGGGGGGGGGGGTGAAAAAAAATTAGTTACTGTTACTGGTAGATCATCTATAAAGTTTTCCCATAACAAGGTGTGGTGATCAGTTCTCTTTATCACCATCTGTTTAATTCAGTTTTAACATGGAACAAATGTTATCATTATGCATATACCTATAAGTCTTGATGTAGTCTCTAACCAGTAGTTGTTGCCCCAGTACACAGACAAGTTGACTTCAAGAGTTCCAATAACTTCTGCATAATTCAGCTGAAGAAGATTCAAGAATATTTATATTAATAATGACAAATGTCTTTACTTTAAAGACATGCAACTCTTATATAAGCTATGCAATGGGGGAAAATAAAGAGAGCCAATATGCAGTATTCAAGAGATGGACAAACACCAGTGTGTAACAGGGGCAGCATTTTACCAGAAAGAGAGAGGAAAAGGATGGTCGGGGGTAGGGGGGGGGAGGGGGAGAGACATGAGGAGAGGGCAGGGGGAAGAGGACAATGATGGAGGAGGGGGGGGGGGGGAAGGACAGAAAAAGAGAGGGGGAGACAGACACATAGATAGCTAGAGGGAGAAACAGGAAACAACAAAATGAAAGGGATGGGTTCACTGAAAGTTTGTAAAAAAAAAAAAAAAAAAGTAATTGACTGGCTATTTATTTATTTATTTATTTATAGGGAAAAAGATGTCAGTCTATTACAGTAGTTCTGAAATTAATAACTGCCTTTTAAAAATTTGCTAGTACTGCATACCACCAGAAGAAGAACAAAGCCCTGATCTTAATGTCTCAGAACTTTTCCTGGTGTTCATTTTAGTCTTGACCAATCTGGCAACTCTGGTCTACCTTTTTTTTTAATCCTCAATGAATGATACAGTAGTACTGTTGGTCAACACAAACAAATATCAGGTTAACACAATTAAAATTGTGGTCGCAGTAAGAAGTTATAATTGTAACACATCTAATAGTTTACAGTTAAAATGAGTCCCCCCCCCCCCCCCCCCCCCCCCCTCCGGATATGGAAAATGAGTCCCCAAACTCTTGATGTTTTAGGTTTTGGAATGTGTGTTAACAAGATTTTACTGTACGTGAATCTCTGACTGGCAGGGTTGGAGGCTAGAATGTTAACTACTATACAATCCTGACTCCTGCAATGTGCCATCAATGTAACGCAATCTGATTAGTTTCAAAAGAAGAAAATTAAAATGTTTTGTTTATTTTTTTTTTCAAACCACATAGCTGCAGACATACTTATTACATGTCTGTGACATGGCACCTACCGCTGGAATGTCACATGTCAGGCTTTTATCATCATGACGTCTGGCTACTGTTGTTATCTTCTGAGTTCCCAGGTCTATTACACATTCATAGTTCCTGAATTTAGCCTACAAAAGAAATAATATTTCAAGTTTATTACAGAAGTTAAAAAAAAAGTATCTGCAAAGGTACAAATCCTAGAAATATAGTTCAACTGTATAAACACAGTTATACCAGGGGGTTGGAGGAGGGGGTGTACAGTTGCAAAGCAGCCTGCAGTCCAATGTGAGTGATGTATCAAAATATGTTCCTACTTTAAAAATTGTCCGTAGAATATAATAGATGCTGTTATTTAGTATATCTAAAAGTTTAAATATATGGCAGTATCTGATTATCTTTTTCATACATAGCAAAATAGGACACACACCTTTTTTTTTCTAATGAAGAGTAAAGTGATCAAAAATGTATGCAACCGACATTTGTAATATGCATGTTTTGATGTGTATGCCTACAGAGTGTGCCATATAATATGTTGTTTATTTTATATATTAATTTGAATGTGTTTGAAATGGACAATATATTTATTAATTACTTTCATATTCATCCTAATCATCATCATGTGCCCTGCCAACTGGCGTAGGCGCTCATACGTCTCCACAGATCACGATCCCTGGTTTCCTGGACAGTTCTCTTAATGATATTCCTCCATGCCATTGATTAAGCTCATTCAGCATCATTTCTCTTGGTCTATCTCTACCCCCTTTTTCCACTGATCTTTCCAGTTGTCACGATGTTCTGCAAGTGTCTCTTCTCATTACGTGGCGAAAGAACAGTGTTTGTCTCTTTCTTTTTGTTGTACATAGAGATCCACTTTCATTAGCTTCTTTAAAGCAATCATTGTTGGTTACTCTGACCGTCCAAGGTATTCGTCTGAGAAACCACATCTCTGTTGCATCCAAATTCTTCCTAATTTGTTCACTGACATTCCAAGATTCCCACTGTCACACTCATACTTCATTGCTGCTCTTTCCAAATCATTAAGGCGTTTTTTATGGTCAAAGTATTTCAACTTCTATCTGGAATTTTGGAATGCTATGGTATAGGGATGAAAGTAATCAATATTACTGAGGTAATGTAGAAGGTTCACAGAGTGCAGTGTGAACAGACAATGATCTCAGTGATTGGTTTGGGGGTTGATACTTGAGTGAAACAGGGATGCATTTTATCTATCCTGTTATTTGGCATTACCATTGTTTGATTGAGTGATGAAAAATGTTTTGTTGGAAACATTGGCATTTACTGGGTAGGGAACACACAGTTTGAAGATCTTGATTTTAATGATGATGATGTTCTGCTAAGTAAAAACAGCAATGACATGCAAAGAAAAACAGAGGATTTAGGGCTGACTACAAATAAGTTATGAAAAGATAAATATATTGAAGACACCAATAACAGATCAAGCAGATGTAACATCAGAGACAAAAGTAATTAAAGTAACAGATCAATTTACTTATTTAGGTAGTCTTTTTGATAGTGAAGGAATTACAAAGAAAGAAATTATGGCACACACTGAAAAGGCATCAGCAGCTTTTTATAGCTTGAGCAAAATATGGAACACTAAATTATATAGTTTTAAAATCACCTAACATATTTTCAGTTCTAATATTGTTTCAGGTTTAAAATATTTAAGTGAAAGTTTGAGTACCACTAAAGACATAAAACACTTTTGAAAACAAATATTTAAGAAAAACATTAAAATAAAATGGGATGAAATCAAAAGAAAATGTCTGGACAGTCACTAGTATCAATAGTTATAAGACAGAGTAGATGGCGCTACATTGGACACACCCTGAGGGAAAAAAACCTAAGAGAATCATCAAACAGGCATAAACAAATAGGAAACAGAGGGATTAAGGAGGCGAGGATGCCCAAAAGAAACCCTATGATGAACACTGATGAGAGAGGCCAAAGCTGCTGGTCTGGACTCCATCCTTGATATTAAACTGACTGCACAGTATATAAGAGAATGGAGGAATAGACTGTTACCCTTTGTGACATATAAAAGCACAACAGGATAATGAATGAATGAATATTAATTTTCTGACAATCGCTACTTTATATGAGCTGACAAGATATCAAGTTATTTGATACTTAAAAGAAAACAAAGTAAAATTCTGAACTGTTAAAAAATTATAGGGTTTCCAAACAATATTAAACATCCAATAAGACAACTGACCTGCACTTCCGGAATGTTGTAGCCTTTCAGTAAAATCGTTTTCTTCACTCCAGCTGCCAGGAAAATGTCATCAGTCATTTTGGTATCAATCTGTGGACAGTGCTGGGGTCCATGTCTGCCAGGTTTTATGCTCTGGAAAGTCAAGTACAGTTTGTTAATTGTGTGAATACATTTTATTAACAAATCAACAAAAACTAATGGAAATTACATTTGGGCAAGATATTTTTATTACTCTGAATTAGCTTTCTGCAAATTTCACACTTTAAATGTTGCTAACAGTATCAGACACAATACAAATCTGTGTTATTAAATTAAATTCTTAAATAAAAGTTAATAAAGGACGTTTTCCATGCCCTTTGGGTAAATAACGCTAGATCTATATTTTATAGACCAATTGGTCTAATTTGGGTAAAGCAAATTATCAAATAAGACTTTTCTAGCATACATCAGCAACTGGGATAAGTGCTATAAATATAGGATAGTTCTTCTCTTTTGTTTAACTTTATTTCTTTACAAGACAATTCAGATGCAGAACTTACACTCTTTCCTCTGATAATACTAGGCTGGCAGGTCCCCGTCTCATCAAAGCAGCCATTATCATAGACACACCAGTCACACCCAAAGCTGGAGTTTGTGCAGACTGTGCAACTGTAGAATATTTATTTTTCATACATTACTTATATTTGTATGCTATAACCACGTATACTGTATATGCTTTAAATAATTTTAAATAAGCTGCTGTAATTACTTAATATGGACAATATTTTTATTTATTACTTTCATATTCATCATCATCATCATGTGCCCTGCCAATTGGTGTGGGCGCTCATACGTCTCTACAGATCATGATCCCTGGTTGCCTGGAACAACTCTCTTGATGATATCCTTCCATGCCATCGTTTCAGCCCATCCAGCATCATCTCTCTTGGTCTGCCTCTACCCCTTTTCAACTGATCTTTCCAGTTGTCACAATGTTCTCCAATGAAGAGATAAGAACCAGAATAGGACAGGCAAAAACTCATTTTTATAAAATAAAGAACATCTTGTACAATATATCTTTGTCATTGCGAGTTAGAAAGAGAATTCTTGTTTGCTACATACATCCAGTTTTAGCATATGGTTGTGAATCCTGGACAATCGATAGGCAGGCTAAACAATTTCTTGAGGCCTCAGAGATGTGGTTTTACAAAAGAATGCTTAGAATACCTTGGACAGCCAAAAAGAGCAACCAAGAGGTTTTGAAAGAGGCGGGAGCCCGAAGACAACTTATCACAGACATCAGAAGGAGACAGTATCATTTTTCGGCCATGTTATGAGAAGAGGGAAAATAGAACATGTTGTGACCACTGGAAAGATCTGTGGAAGGAGGGATAGAGGAAGACAATGAGAGAAGATTCTTGACAATCTTGTTGCATGGCACGAAGGTGTGTCTGATACATGCTGCAGGACATCGCAGATTGTTGAGAGGCATGATCGCCCACGCCAGTTTGCGAGGCACCTGATGATGATGATGATGAATTACTTAAACAGTGGATGCTTTAATTATGAAAACATGCTTTAATTTCTTAAATAGTGTCTGCTTTAATTACACTTCAAGTTTTAACTACACATTACTTATCTTCTTAAACTATAATTACTTAAACACTGTGCTTTAATTACTTGTACAGTGTACACTTTAATTAGAAAATACTCTTTTTCCTTATACAATGTCTGCTTTAATTATACTTTGTGCTTTAATTACAGGTATACTTTATTATGTCATTCCTTACTTCCAGCACACCTGTACAGGATAGGCATAAAAGAATCTGCTGCCTGTGATTGTGGAGCAGAAAGACAGACCCCCTGAGCACATACTACAGTACTGCCCTTACCTCTCCCAGCAAAGACTGTGGATCTGGCCCAGGGGATCCACATTGCGAGAGAAGCTATGGGGACCGGTGGCGACCTTAAACGCACAATCCTATTTTTGACCCAGACGGGACTCAATGTGTAGCATGACTGATGTCGAACGCAGAAGAAGAGGAAGAAGAAGAACTTCATCATCAACATTAACTAGATTATATAAATATCTGACTGAAAGCTGTGTTATTTGTTTTACGGCAGAAAACTTTAAACAGAAACATTCTTGCAGCCACCTGCAACCTGACTTTCTAATTTTACTGCCAAATAATTTTTGGCTACAGAACACCCATTATTTATTTGATTCCTTGGCAAACGTTAGCCGCACCTCTTCTATCTTCAGAAGTGGTTATTTAACTTTGCCTCAAATGGATTAAAATAACAATAGGAATGAGCTCTTTGGGTGCCAAAGAAGACGTTAAACTTTAATTTATAACTAATTTAACTGACCTCCAGTACCTACAGATTTAAAATAACAATTGGGGACAGCGGGTTAAGGTAAAAAATGAACAGTACACAAAACCTGTGAACAACAAACAATTATAGATCATGCCAGTAGAGGGAAGCCATCTATCAGCTAGACCTTTGCCTACAGATCTGAAAGTCATGGGCTCAAATCAGAGCAGTGCTGGACAATATTTAAAGAATGACCTTGACTCGCAGAACAGCCCAGCCATAAATGGTTACGAGGTAAAGTCCTGGAAAGCAGAGGTGGCAGCCATGATGTTGACACACCCACAAAGTGCCTTTTGGTTTATAAAATATAGGTCTAGCCCTATATGCCCAATACACATGAAGGCATGCAAAAGGGTTCTTGACTTCAAACCAGCAGACATCAACAAATAGATAGCTGGTTGTTTGTTAATAAACAATGATCTGAACAAGTACAAGGTTACCTGTGAAAGTTGGAGCAGTTGTAAAATGTAAAACTCTTTGTCACAAACAGCTTCCCGGTCTCTGTGGAGTTGAGTGCAAGTGTCACAGTTCGGAAACCTTCTGTGCCCAGGGACAATCCCAACTTGCTGAAATCTGGAGTCTTACAGATGGCCCCAAAATACCAGAAGGAAACTGGAGAGCTCCAGTCTAGTTCCAGGAAGACACAGGTGTATGAAGAGGTCTGAGGTAACTGGGGAATGGTCAGGTGCAGCTGTGGAATAGACATAAATAATATGTCCATATATGTCCAAAACAATTTTCATTTAGTTACATTTTCTTTTCTTGGACTTCTTGAGAATACCTATTGTTTATTATTACCATTATTATTTTGTTTTAAATTTGCCTTGGTTTACTTCTTATTGTTTTCCCTAGAATGGTTCTCTGTGGCCTTTTTTCCTGTCTCAGGGTTTGACCAAACTATACCAGACTTCCCACTTTAATAAATCATGTTTTCCAATACATTTTCCAGAAATTTTTATGACAATTAATTGTTAATGTTTGTTTAAAAAGCCCAACCAGTTTTTGTCTTAAAAAAAAAAAAAAATCAGTAGCTAAGTAATTTACTCACTCATTCACTCACTCACCCACTCACTCACTCACGAACTCAAGTGCGCACAGACTCACACACACATAACTCGTGTGACCATCTTAGTGGGACAACCAAGACCACCTATGAGCATGAAACACTGGATGATGATGATGATGACATGTAGGTCTATGAGGTCTGATCAATTATCATTTGAAACAGATGTTAACATAAACATGAATGAATTACCAGATTACAACAAACATTGATGTTTATACTAGAAACAAGATTGCAGATTTGGATAAGCTGTTTCAAGTGAATGAAAGAAGAAGAAGTAGACGAATAAACTAACACAAAATCATCCACCTGTGTGCGCAAAGGCAAACAGGTAAATACCTTGATAGATTAAACAAAAAATGGCTTTATTATGAACGTTTTAATTTCTTAGCTACCTGTAAATTCTGATGCAGAATGCAAGTGATTATATTGTTTTTGTAATCTAAGTTCATGGCCTGGGAATACACCTTAACGGTAATCCAATATAAATTACTGCAAACGAGAGGAGACATGTTGAAGGGAATCCTGAATCTAGAGACAACAAAATCAGAGAATTACATCACAGCTGCAGAAACATGTCCGATTCTTTAATTGTGAGAATCAATTAAATGTAATAGATTTTTCAGTTTGTTTCTTTGTGGATGCTTTGGTTTTTAAATTTCTTTACTTGTTGTTTATATTTCTTTGTTCCTCTTTTTTTTCTAAATTCACCTGCGCTCCTTTGTTTTCTTTCTTGTTATCTTTATATTCATTTTCTTTTAATATTTCTTTCTTTCTTTTGCTGTCTTTAATCTATCCATTTATTCATTCATTTAATTCTGATTCATGCTTTCACTGAAATATTAGGCTGGTAGTGTGTCTGTTTTTTTCCTTTTGCAGTGTTTGTTTCTCTTATACTTCCCTTTTTTGTATTCATAATCAAAGCAAAAGCGATTGTGAATTTTTTATTTGATTACTGTCAAGTTGCTCACACGGAAATGTTTTTTAAACCGTCTTTTGATCTACTAGTAAATATGAGATTTATATCATATCCCGCCATGCAATTCCTCACACGTGATATCGTCAGTGAGCTAGATACTGCGAGTAATTAATAATTACATTTGCAGATGTGCACACTTAAACAGCTTTAAAAAAAAAACAGGAACGCATTTTTATGTGCTGAAAATGGATTCTACTGACTTACAGAAAACTCTCTCATATTTCTAGCCCTAACCAGGGAGATGCTGCACTTAGCGTAAGCGTTGCACTACAGAAATATCCATGAACAGTTGTAGAGATGTTAAAACTGTTTATATGCAGGTGCAGAATGTAACATTTCCTTATTCTCGTGAATGTTTTAATGAGTTAAGAAAGATGCTGCATTTGTATATATTTATTGTAATGGGAAATAACCGCGGTATGTTTAAGGGAAGCAACTCACTTGATTGCTAAATTGTGTTTTATGCTGATTTTCTACTGTCTGTCACTTCTTGTTTACATGTTTAAGGAAGAAGCGAACGTAACGTTCCAGGTGTTTCGCTTAATTTGTTCACGTGTTACATACAATTACTAAACCAGGGATGCAGTGAAATACGCTGACAATTTTGGCAAAGTGCTCTGAATAAGTTTTCATTGTTGATTTTAAAAGTTACAAAAGTAGAAATATCTTAGTCGTCACCATGTGGGAACAATATAGCCCGGCCATAAATATGGCCTAAAGGCTGAACGCGGTTTCTGGGACCTCTCCACGGGTGATCCCCACCCACATGGTGGCACTTTGTGTCACTGGGTGTTTATGGCTTGTGTGATGTCCTAGTGGGGTACTACAAGAGAGAGAGAGAGAGAGAGAGAGAGAGAGAGAGAGAGTGAGATAGATAGAGATAGAGAGAGAGAGAGAGACAGACAGACAGACAGACAGACAGACAGACAGACAGACAGACAGACAGACAGACAGACAGACAGACAGACAGACAGACAGACAGACAGACAGACAGACAGACAGACAGACAGACAGACAGACAGACAGACAGACAGACAGACAGACAGACAGACAGACAGACAGACAGACAGACAGACAGACAGACAGACAGACAGACAGACAGACAGACAGACAGACAGACAGACAGACAGACAGACAGACAGACAGACAGACAGACAGACAGGCAGACAGACAGACAGACAGACAGACAGACAGACAGACAGACAGACAGACAGACAGACAGTAAAGTAAACAGTTCTTTTCCATGCCTTTAGACGTATTGGGTATATAGGGCTAGACCTATATTTTATAGACCAAACGGCACTTGATGGGTGATGTGATAAGCAGGGCGCGGCTGCCTTTGCTTCCCAGGGCGGTACCTGGTACCCACTCAAAGCTGGTTTGACCTGGGAGCCAAGGTCATTTTTTTGTAAGAGAGACAGAGAGAGACAGAGACAGATAGACAGACAGACAGACAGAGATAAAAAAAATTACCGAGAAAAAAGGAGAGAGAGTTAAAAGACAATTCAGAGAGAAATAGAGACAGATGGAGATATACAATTGTGAGACAGAGAGAGGTAAATGAAAAAGAATTGGGAGACAGACAGGCAGAAAGAGGATAAAAAATGAGAGAGAGAGAGAGAGAGAGAGAGAGAGAGAGAGAGAGAGAGAGAGAGAGACAGAGAGAGAGAGACAGAGACAGAGAGAGAGAAGAGACTATAAAATTAACTGAGGAATATATAAATAATATGAGACAGAGAAGAAAAAGAAGAAGGAGAGAGAGAGAGAGAGAGAGAGAGAGAGAGAGAGAGAGAGAGAGAGAGAGAGAGAGAGAGAGAGAATATACCAACATAGTCATGAGTGTCACACAATTTTCCAGCGTGGTTTCATGGGTTCTAGTGTGGTGGGGGCGGGGGAAGTGGGGCGGGGTAGAGATATACACACTGCTCCCTAACAAGCATGTCATAAGAAAAGGTTAGCTAATTAGGGGTGTTTTATTCTAAGTCGGACTGCATTTGCCTGGGAGGTGAGGAACCAGTAATGTTTGTACAAAAAAAAATCATATCTGTAAAACGGGTGTGCATACAAAACGCAAGTTCAAGAGCAAGACTAAAGTCCAGACGCGGGCAAACAGCCACAACTGGCTATGGAAATTTACAGCTGCTGAAAGCAAAGAAGAACAACAAGAAAAACAAGAAGAAGATCATACAATGTTTATTCCTTACTAATCTCCCCTAAATCCTCAGTTCACCACAGCCCCAGCTACTCTCCCCTACTAGTTAAAACCAGTATTGCCAAACATCCAGGAACCGAAATAATGAATTCATAGGTGAGGAAAACTGGGGCCCCAGTTGCTAAGACGAAGATCCGACTAATTATAACTTGTAACCTGAGCCTACACGGAAATGAATCCCACAAAGTCCTGTCATTTCATTAGTGATGTTTCATCCTCGGCACCGCAGACAAGGTAGAAAGGATCTTTCAAAACACCACAAGCTCATCCAAGCAAACAAGATGCTATCAGAGATCACACGAGTTCAACTAAGACAGTTAATTAAAGTACACGATAAAAGCTTTTTTCTTTCAATCAGCTATCACATCCTAGCTTTCTATATCTCTCTCTTTCTCTCTCGCTTCTCCTCATCACACCCCACTTTTCCCTTTTTTTCTCCTCTAATTTCAATCATTCATCAGTATATCTGTATCTCCTTCAGTCATTTCAAAATAGCTACTTCTTTTTGATACATTTTAAACTTTGCATTTATGCTCTATGTACAAGTCTGCATTTCTGGTAGCAACTGGGCTGATATACTGAATGCTCTACGAGATTTAAGTCGTTCGCATGAACCAATTGAGAACTGTGAATCTGCAACCATGGTCAGATTGCAACAACAGCAAGTTGAACGGGGTGTCGCCAAACAAGTTCACTACGCGGGTAGTCAAAGAATAATAATAAACCAACACAGAATTGATATCGTCACCGCTGCACGCTGCGGGATTTAAGAGGGGATCCGAGCACTTAACTGATTGGTTTGACTTGCCATGAGGATAATCTGTCGACTAACTAAAGTGGCTGTTGGTACATTGGTAATGCGGAACACTTTTTTTTTCACTCGATGTTACCGCTAACATTCAATATAAGGACTGTTTATTATGTCTTTATACTCGTACATTGATTAATCCGAATAATTTAATTTGCCATCCCCTAGTTCTTGACAAAATCATACAAAATCCATGTAAGAGACTGTATGTTTCCACAGTTCCAGTGCTATGGTGTGTGACTGTTTTACGCATACAAACATGCCCTAGATAAGAGTCTGCACATAAGGTAGAGCTGGCACTGCCGGAAAACAGTAGCGATGCTGTTTTATTATTCTTTTCGGATTTCTTGTTTAAATGAATGAATCAAGCTTGAACTCTGGCAAATTATGGCAGGAGTGTTTTTTTGTTGTTTCAAAGGTTATTTTATTTTAAAGGATTTATGACGTTAATGCATGCATTTTGTTTTTATGTTTATATCTTTTACAGAATTTGGAAAAAAAAAAAAAAAAAAACTCACATTTTTGAAACAGCACGTACAAAAAACTAATTCTGGCTACGCTTAAGTTACAGTAGTGGCCACCAAAACAACCTACAAAAGCCGGGGGAAAGTCACTACGAAATCATTTTA